ATATAATTTTTTAAATTGATTTCAGAGAGGAAGGGGGAGAGAAATAGTAACATCAATGATGAGAAGGAATCATTAATTGGCTTCCGCCTGCATGCCCTCCACTGGGGATTAAGCCCACAATCTGGGCATGTGCCCTTGACCGGAATCTAACCTGGGACCCTTCAGTCTGCAGGCTGACGCTTTATTTTTTTAAATATATTTTATTGATTTTTTACAGAGAGGAAGGGAGAGGGATAGAGAGTTAGAAACATCGATGAGAGAGAAACATCGATCAGCTGCCTCCTGCACGCCCCCTACTGGGGATGTGCCCGTAACCCAGGTACATGCCCTTGACCGGAATTGAACCCTGGACCCTTCAGTCCGCAGGCCGACGCTCTATCTACTGAGCCACACCGGTTAGGGCTAAAATGAAAGTATTTAAATCAGTTTTCATTGAGTTATACAGGTCCATAAAATGAGTGGCTTGGACTAGATCTCAGGTATTTTTCAGCTTTGAAGTTTTAGCATAGATTTTAAAAAGTAGTGATGGAATAAAATGCAGTGAAAACTGCTGTCTGCTCATGCATTAATTCATGAGAATAAAAGCCACTGAGATAGTTGTCATAACTAACTTTATTACTCATTTAATCCTCACAACTTTATGATGTAAGTATATCTTCTTCACTTTGCAAATGATGAAACTGAGGCAGAAGGAGGTGCAGTGACTAGCCTAAGGTTAGTTTGTGAACAGAACACCCCAGCATTCAAGTTGAGGCAGTCTGGCTCAGGAGCACATGCTCCTAATCACTGTATCATGCTGCTCTCACATGATACAGAGTTTGAAGTGTTTCATTTCTGATGGAACCAATACTCTCTTCATCAACCAATAAAATGTCTGAAAAAGCCCAGTATATAGTTATCTAAACTACATATTTCACATGCCTCATGGTCGGAAACAGCCACAATATCTTGGTCCACATCTTTGTCCATATTTTAGGCCCAGATCTATAATAACCATCCAACCTTCTCATTTTTGAAGTTGAAGCCTTGCTAGTGTTACCAATGTTTTTCAAGGGTGTGAGTGTGGCCAGTGAATGTGTAGGAAAAGTGCTAGAGTGAGGTAGGATTTATATTCAGGAATAACCCTTTTGCTAAGTAAAGATTTGGTTGCCAGGTATTTTTTTCTGTTCCCCTAACGCCCCCAACTGCTTCTGGTGAGAGAGGTCCTCTGTTGCCATGCAGTTACCTCAAACATGAAGAAGTCATTCCTAATTAATATTCCAGCAGGCAAGCTTGGGGAATAGTGAGGGTAAAGGGAATGACACTTTGCCTCAGAATAATAGGGACCCAGTTCCTGCCAAGAACCTCAGATATAGATTGGGGGTCACTCTGGTATGAGGGAATGCATAGAGGTCGGGTAAGTACCAATGTGTCTTTTAATCATGGGAAACACTCAGGCCCCCATTACCTTTGCTTCAGGCTGAGTAAGTACCCTGCTTAGCAGGCTCTGCCTCCATCAAGTCCATTTCCAATTGCCCCATCTTGGCTAATTATCAGCAGCAGAAGTTACATTTTGTATTTTACAGTTTACAAAGTACTTTAACTTTCATTGCCTCATTTGATCTTCACAACAAACCTGTGAAGCAGGTTTTACAGATGAAGAGAAGTTCAGAAAGGTCCAGAGTATAGTAGCAGAGCTGGCACCTGTATCAAGGTCAGCCAACTTTCTATGCACCTTAGGAGAGAATGGCAACTTAGGGAAGTCTGTGTCCTTTTGGGGGTAGATAGCAGTAATTTCTAACCTCTGAGATCAAAATCATTAGGGGAGGCTTAAAAACAAACAGATGCACAGACCTTATTATCAGATGTAACATAGAATCTTCAAGTCTGGGTACCCAGTGTATGAATTTTGGGCAAAAAAGTCCCACAGTAAATGCTGACGTGCAACTAAGGTTCAAAATCACTTGTACTTAAGTTCTTCTAAATGTATCAGAATAGCCTGATGAAGTGTCATATCCATCAAAGCAAACAACTATTGCCTTGGAGAAAACAAATTTAAGATTTGGTTCCTGCTCTCCAGGAATTCCTAATATGTCTGGGATAAGATGTACATAGGCAGAGACTCAATACCATAAGGCATGTCTACCAAAGTCTAAGACCTGAGTAGTCCCAACAAAAGAGGCAGGATGGTGAAGGGGGCATACAGAGAGACAAACACAGTGTGTGAAAGGTTAGTAGATCCTTTCAGGAAACCTATTTGGTTTGGCAATGGGAAGCATTTTGGGCAAATGTAGGAAAGGACATAGAAAGCAGATTGGGTCAGTGAGGTAATCAAGTTTGGCCAGAGCAAAGCATTCATGGAGTAAGATGTGTGGGAAATAAACTTCTGAGGTAGGCAGAGGTTATATTGTGGAGGGCTTTTCCTGACAAAGTGAGGATCTTCAAATTAACCCTGGATAGTGGGAAGACATTGGGATTTTATAACAGATAATGTACAAAAAAGAAAAATAAAGCAGAATAATGTAATCAGGTATTTTACAAAGATAAGTCCAGTGGACTTGTGAAAGTTTGGAATGGGGGAAGGGGAGCAGAGAGCAGTCAGGAAACTAATAAAGTCAGGTGTGAGGTGATAAGGTTACTGAACAAAGGTGGGTAGTTTTAAGAATGGTAAGTTGGGATCAAATTCTAGAAACAAACATGGGAGAATTTACAGGATTGAGTGACTTTCACTTGTAAAGCACTTTAGCAAAGTGGTTTCTAGAACCAAATTTCCTGGGCTCAAATCTTTGTGTTTTGTAAAAAACTTTCTTACTGGGTGTTTGAGAGAGAAACATCAATTTGTTGTTCCACTAATTTGTGCACTCATTGGTTAATGTTTGTATGTGCCCTGACCGGGGATTGAACCCATAACCTTGGTGTATCAGGATGATGCTCTCACCAACTGAGCTATCCTGCCAGGACCTGGACTCAAATCTTGATTCTGCCACTTCCCTGTGTAATCACAGGCAATAACCTTTGTGCCTTTTTCTTTTTAACCTGTAAAATGAGGCTTATAGTAGTAATACATGCCCCAGAGATGTGAGGATTAAATGAATTTGCATAAATTACTTAGAATGTTGCCTGGCACAATAAATAGCTAGGAGGAAGCTAGTACGATGATGGTTCCATGGGTAGCACTCTTAGTATCACAGCTGTCTGGCATGTTCTCTGCTTTCAGAGTGTGACGTGTTGGCGAGCCAAGTTTATGGAGGCCTTTTTTTCCCATGTTCTACGTGGAACCATTGATGTGTCTTCTGACAGGCGTCTTTGTGACCAGCGCTTCTCACCTCTTCTGCATAGCTCCCGCCATGTCCGGCAGCTCACCATCTGCAACATGCTGCAGGGTGCAACTGAGCTGGTGGCTGAGCCAAACCGCAGGGTTCTGGAGACCCTGGCCAGTTCCCTGCACACCCTCAAATTTCGCCACCTGCTATTCTCTGATGTGGCTGCTCAGCAATCACTTCGACAGCTGTTGCATCAGCTTATTCACCATGGGGCTGTCAACCAGGTGTCACTATACTCCTGGCCTGTGCCTGAGTCAGCCCTTTTCATCCTTATCCTCACCATGAGTGCTGGCTTCTGGCAGCCAGGCCCTGGTGGCCCTCCCTGTCGCCTCTGTGGAGAGGCCTCCCGAGGCCGGGCCCCATCCCGAGATGAAAGCTCCCTCCTGCTGGGCTCACGCAGGCCTCGCAGGGATGCTGCTGAGCGATGCGCTGCAGCCCTGATGGCTTCCCGTCGGAAGAGCGAAGCCAAGCAGATGGCCAGAGCCCCACCCACCACTCGGGTTACACGCCGGAGCACACAGGAGAGCCTGAGAGCAGGTGGGATAGACCGTAAGAGGGAGCTGCACCCTCCAGCCACCTCCAATGAGGCTCCTGGCACCAAGCAGCCACCCTCTGCTCCAGCCACCTCCTCTGCCTCTCCTTCTTCTTCCACATCCGCATCCAAAAGGGCTCCAGCTAGCTCAACCCCACAGCCTAAGCCCTTAAAGCGTTTTAAGCGAGCCACAGGGAAAAAGGGTGCTCGCACTCGTCAGGGGTCTGGTGCAGAGTCTGAAGACCTGTATGACTTTGTTTTCATTGTGGCTGGTGAGAAAGAAGATGGGGAAGAGATGGAGATTGGGGAAGTGGCTTGTGGAGCTTTGGATGGGTCAGATCCCAGCTGCCTGGGGCTTCCAGCGCTGGAGGCCTCCCAACGATTCCGCAGCATTTCCACCTTGGAGCTCTTCACAGTCCCACTCTCAACAGAGGCAGCTCTGACACTGTGCCACCTGCTGAGCTCCTGGGTGTCTCTGGAAAGCCTCACACTATCCTATAATGGTGAGTGCCCCAGAGGGCCAGGGTTTGGGTCTTCCAGCAGCACATGTATGCCCAATCCTATGGAGGAATACCTGGGGTATGTGGCCCTGCCTGCCTCACAGGGAGGCAGAAGGCATATAGCGTGGCAGGCTGTTGGTGTTAGGGAAGAACATGGGGTCTGCAGGCATGCTTAGTAGTTGGAAGGGTTCCTGAGGGGCAATGAGAACCTGAAAAATGAGTACATTTTAGATATGGTAGGTCAAGGGCCAGTGGGAATAATGTATGCAAGCCCAGCCGCACTGAAGCTGGATCCCACTAGGCATATAAAAGCAGCTGTACAGACAAGGAAGCGTGGGACTTTTTTCTTTTTTAAATCCTCACTCCAAGATATTTTTTCAGAGAGAGTGGAGGGGGAGATAAATATTGATGTGAGATACACATCAACCGGTTGCATCCTGCCTGCAACCCAGTGGGGGGGGGGGTTGGTGGGAGGGGAAGGTAACCCACAAATCAGGTACATTTCCTTGACCACAAATTGAACCTGCAACCTTTCCATATGCAGGCAGGCAGTCTAACCACCTAGACACACCAGCCAGGGCAGAGGTGTGTGGCATTTTATCAGACCAGCAACCTGCAAAGCAATTCTTTCCTACCTGGTTGTGCCCAGCTAGGCAAAGTTAATTCTGGCTAAATTTAGCAATTTGCCTAGTTTGCCGAGCATTGCTAGAGAAAATCATACAACTATGTATATTGGTGCTACTGTAGTTACCAACCTTAGATAAATCCTGTGTTTGCAACATCAGCTCTCATTCTGCCACTTCCAAACCTTTACCCCCTTCCTTTCTTACTAGTAGGTGACCTTACCTCCTACTTCAGATAAAACAGACACCACCACACATAAACCCTTTCAATTTATTAGCCAGCCTACAAACTCCTCCACCACAGTGGAAGAGATAACCATCCTGTCTAATGCTCTTTTTTTTTTGGTGCCCTTGGCCAGAATCGAACCTGGGACCCTTCAGTCTGCAGGCTGACGCTCTATCCACTGAGCCAAACCAGCCAGGGCTAAAGCTAACTCTTGTCTGTCTGTGCTCTGGACCCATACCCTCTCACCTTCTTAGGAAAGCTTGTTTCTTCATATTAAGAGCTTTCATATACTGCTTAGTATGTGCCAAGCATACTTTAAGTATTCCCATTATGTTAATTTAATCCTTACAACAACCCTGTGAGGTTAAGTGACTTGCCCAGGATACCTAGGTAGTACACTGTAGAGCCAGGATTGAAACCCACACAACCAACCTGGCTCCAGAGTCCATGCTTTTAAACCACTACTTAATGTTGTCTCCCTTCTCTCCACTGTCCCTCCCCCACCATTTAAACATTCAGTTGGGTATTTACCAAAATCTACCACCACCACCTCTCTATCCCATATTAACTAGACCTATTTTCTCTTGCCCTTCACAACCTCAAGAGTCACCTGTTTCCTCTCACAGCCCATCCAGTCTTGCTTGCATACCCACGATATATCAAAGATCTGTCAGCAAGGTCTTCCTTTGTTGCTAAATTAAATATATACCTTTCAGTCCTCACATTAGTTCTTGGCAGCATTTGCCATTAAGCAGTGTTCCTCATGAAATATTCTCATTCCCACTTCCTCAAAACCCTTTTCTCTGGATGTTTCTCTCTTTCCTAATGGTCAGAGCTCTCCCACTTTACACACTTCCTGGACAATTCTGTCCATTCCCTTGGTTTCAAAGGCCAACTATGCTGAAGACCGCCCCTGTTCTAACATTAGTTCAGATCTTTCTTTTAAGCTCCAGACATATTCATCCAACTGATTACTAGATATCATTTCATAAACCACAAGCTCCCCAACCTGAATGTATCTTCTTCCCTCTATGATGCCCCCCTTCTCTTAATGGACATCACAGTTGACTCAGTTGCTGAAAAAGAAACCGGCATTATTTCTTACTCCAAATATATTTGGTTACCAGGTCCTATCTTTACAGTCTATTTCTCAAATCCATTTATTCCTCTCCACATCCTTAATTCAGAGTATTATTGCTTCTCACCTGGATTCATCACTTCAGCAGTTCCTCCTGAGTCCATACTCACCATGCAATCCACTGTCTATGCTGAAGTCCAAGCATTTTTTTCTCAAAAACTTAAATCATTTTTTAATTTAAAAACCTTTCAGTGGTTTCCTGTCACCATATATCTTAATTTTGCTTACAGGGTCATCTTGTTTTCACCACTGCTTACCTCTATCTTGAACATTTTACCCCCATACACCAGCCACTTTGATTTCTCAGTTCTTAGAACCTGCCACTCTTCTTCAGGCCTTATATATATACCAGGTTCTCTGTGCCACTGTAACTCTTCTCCCTCCATTTAGCCTATCTCCTTTATGTTCTTTATTGAAAAGAATGTTTTTTAAAAATTTTTTGAGGGATATATAGAGAGAAACATCAATGGGCTGTCTCCTGCATGCTCCCTACTGGGGGTCAAGCTCAGAAACCAGGCATTTGCCGATTGGAAATCAAACCAGTGACCTTTTGATTCATGGGTTGATGCTCAACCACTGAGCCACACCGACCAAGCTCCTTTGTTTTTTAGGACTCAGCTGGAAATCTTTATTGATGTAAGCTGAACTGGGTCTTACGTACGCATCCTTTGTACTTCCACAGTACTCTACTTACCCAGTTCCCATCATGTTTTTTGTTATCAGGCTATAGAGGCAGGAACAAGATCTGTTGCTCACTACTGTCTTAGCAAAAAACCCCTACCTTATTGCTCTAGCCGGTTTGGCTCAGTGGATAGAGCATCAGCTTGCAGACTGAAGGGTCCCAGGTTCGATTCAGGTCTAGGGCATGTACCTCAGTTGCAGGCTCCTCCCCAGTCCAGGCCCTGGTCAGGGCGCGTGCAGGAGGCAACCAATCGATGTGTTACCTCTCACATTGATATTTCTGTCTTTCTCTCTCTCTCTAAAAAAAAAAAAAAAATCAATGGCAAAATATCCTCAAGTGAAGACTTAAAAACAAAATAAAACCCTACCTTATTTACCAAGTTCTGGTTTAGTTGAATGAAATAAGCAAGCAGATTCCACGGAATTATTTGCTTTGTGGCATTAAGCAACTTTTCTAACCTTCTGGATCCTACTCCTTTCTGTGGGATGTGTTTATCCTTTTTTGCCCCATTCCCACCAAATAAATTTTTAAAGTGGTCCCTATTGGATCATTGTCTTTGGTTCTCAGATGTTTCCCATGACTTGCAGAAAAAGTCCAGAGACCTCTGCTGCTGTCTAGGTCTATCATACAGCTGGCAGCTACATGCTGCCCCACCATATCCTGTCTTGTTTTATGACTGCCTGACTGATGCTTGAAGGCATAACCCAGTACAGTAGACATCAGTTTGCTGGTTACCTGAGGAAAAAAGCAAGATAGCATAGTTGAGACAAGTGATTTTAAATAATCTGACCCAAAGTTCAAGATTTTATAGTTATCAATAGGAATATTTGGAGTTGTCTCTGAATGCTACCCTTACTGACACTCCCACATGACTCTTTCCTGCCATAGGCCTGGGCTCTAACATCTTTCGCCTGCTGGACAGCCTGCGGGCCCTGTCAGGCCAGGCTGGATGCCGCCTCCGTGCCCTGCATCTCAGTGACCTGTTCTCACCACTGCCCATCCTGGAGCTGACACGTGCCATTGTGCGAGCCCTGCCCCTGCTGCGGGTCCTCTCTATTCGTGTTGATCACCCCAGCCAAAGGGACAACCCTGCTGTGCCAGGGAATGCAGGGCCCCCTAGCCACATAATTGGGGATGAAGAGCTACCAGGTGAAGCACTGTGTGTGTGTCTGTCTCTACACAAATGTGCAGGTGCATTTGTGTGGGGAAGGTGGGAAGATCTCAAATTCAGCCCTGCCACCTGGCTTATCTGGAATATTCCCTTTATCCTGCTGTTCTTAAGGGCCCAGACTACAAACCTAATAAGGAGTGACCATGGCAGATCAGCCTCCAGAAAAGGGGTCTGAACCAAGAACAATTGTTAAACTAAATTAGGTCCTCCTGCTGTATGTATATTCCCTGAACTTCTGTATGTCTCCTATCCCACCACTCTGCATACTTTGTTATATTTGCTTGTCCAATTAGTCTAGTCTTCCTGGACTAAAAGCTCCATGAAGATAACGACTAGATTTCATATGTACTGCTCTATTCCCAGAACCTAAGACAGTGCCTAACACAGCCGTGGGCAAACTACGGCCCGCGGGCCGGATCCGGCCCGTTTGAAATGAATAAAACTAAAAAAAAAAAAAAAAAAAGACCGTACCCTTTTATGTAATGATGTTTACTTTGAATTTATATTAGTTCACACAAACACTCCATCCATGCTTTTGTTCCGGCCCTCCGGTCCAGTTTAAGAACCCATTGTGGCCCTCGAGTCAAAAAGTTTGCCCACCCCTGGCCTAACATATAGTATAGGCACTCATGGACAAGTACACATATGACTTTAGTGAATCCCTTAAGGTCAGAATAGGACCTGCTATGCGGGTGAAGTAGATGGCCAGCTGAAATCTTTCCTTACCATATCCAGAAAACTGCCTGGAACAGCTGGAGATGGGGTTTCCACGGGGAGCCCAGTCAGCCCCACTGCTCTGCTCTGTACTGAAGGCCTCAGGTTCTCTGCAGCAGCTGTCCCTGGATAGCACCACCTTTGCCTCTCCCCAGGATTTTGGGCTTGTGTTGCAGACACTCAAAGGTAAGAACCAGAGTGGTAAAGGAGGGCAGACGGAACCTTGCATTATTTGTTGGAAAAGCTAATAAGGCCCATGGCCTGTGCCCCCATCCAGAGTACAACCTAGCCCTGAAGAGACTGAGCTTCCACGACATGAATCTGGCTGACTGTCAGAGCGAGGTGCTCTTTTTGCTACAGAATCTGACTCTTCAAGGTAAGTTTTTTATCCAGAATCTGTGCATTCCTCAATGCTTATTGTGGCTCTGCCACTGTCTCACTGAGTGAGCCAGTTTCTATATTGGCCTTATGTCAACTATAATATTATAGAGCCTGCTTGGCCTTCTTTCTAAAAGATCCCAAACTCAACTCCTCCTATACTACACATGGAAAATTACTCCTAAAATTACTCTAAAAAGTGCCTCACCCAAAAGTTTTTACCTTTCAGTGGCTGACAGAAATGATGGTAGTGGAGAGATTAATGTGCTAACAGGCTCTCCTCATAGACTTGACTCCTGTTCCCCAGCCCTACAAAGAGGGCAGTCAATGGATAAGTGAAAGTGAATGGAGACTTTTGCCCATGCAGAGAACCTTCCTAAGTGAATATCTAGGCTTAATCTGTGGTTTGAATCTTGATTTAGTTCTAGTCTTATTGGGGGTCTTGGATAAATTCCTTTCTCTTTCTGGGCCTCTATAAAATGTTCACACCCTTTGCTAAGGCCAACTGGGGCAGGAGGGGCAGCACCAATCCTAATGCAGCCATCAGAATTTATTCTAATTTCTCTTGACAGAGATTACCTTCTCCTTCTGCCGTCTGTTTGAGAAGCGCCCGGCCCAATTTCTGCCTGAGATGGTTGCTGCTATGAAGGGCAACTCCACATTGAAGGGCCTCCGGCTGCCAGGGAATCGCCTGGGTGGGGGCAAGGCCCTGGGAATGGAGAGGGAAGAGAGGGGGGGGAGAAGCCAGTCTTTTGACCTAGAAACTCAGTGGGAGCATGGGGGGGGGGGTTAGAATATAGTTGTGTGCTGAGACTTCAGAAGGCTGGGCTCCTCCCCAGCCAGAAATAGGCTGGGATACCCTTATTCCCTATCCTGAGTGTTTACCAGCATTTCTCCCCTTCTCCCTAGGGAATGCTGGCCTGCTGGCCCTGGCAGATGTTTTCTCAGAGGATTCGTCCTCCTCTCTGTGTCAGCTGGACATCAGGTATACATTGGGGGAGGGGAGGAAACACAGGATAGAGCTGCAGGAGCACAGACCAGAGATTAGTTGCTTTCTGGGTGTCTAACCCATCTCATCCCTACCAGTTCCAACTGCATCAAGCCAGATGGGCTTCTGGAGTTCGCCAAGCGGCTGGAGCGCTGGGGCCGTGGAGCCTTTGGTCACCTGCGCCTCTTCCAGAACTGGCTGGACCAGGATGCAGTCACAGCCAGAGAAGCTATCCGGCGGCTCCGGGCTACCTGCCATGTGGTTAGCGACTCGTGGGACTCATCCCAGGCTTTCGCAGATTATGTCAGCACCATGTGATGGGGCCCCATGCCTCACAGGTCCGTGCTCAGTATCATCAGCTTGCAAGGGCTGAGGCATGGGCTGCCCAGAACTCCCAACCAATTCTGTCTTTCTCTTTCTGCCACCTTTTTCCCCTCTATTTTCCTTCTTCCCTTGCACTGAGGTTCTGGAGGCCTTGGTGGGGCCCAGCAAAGGCATTCCCAGAACTGGGTTTAGAGGCTTTGGGCCTCTTACTCAGCAACCTGAGAACCCTGAGCCAGGAGGTTACAGTGGTCATCAGTCACTGAGGACAGTCCCCCTCCCCCTGCTCCGGGGTTCTTGCTTTCCCACCTCAAGCAGGTACCCAAGCTTTAGAGAAATATAGGAGTGCCCACTACCAGGCCTCTTCTATGCTGGGCTCACCATGCTGCTCCCAGGCCTCAGTCCCTTTCATACCTTTATTCCTTTCTTTTTTTTAACCAAAAAAGTTTTTCTTATAAAATAAATTTTGGGCAAACATCATGCAGCCCTTCTTGATGATTTTTCTCCCAGAGAACAAAATCCAGCAGGGCCCTATGGGGCAAGGAGCCCCTCTCCCTGTCTCCTCCCTCTTAACAGCTGCACCCAGACTAGTTATCAGCGGAGGCCCCGCTGCTCTTCATGGGAACGCTGGTGGAAGACGAAGGTGATAGCAGTGGAGGCAGCATCCCAGGCAGCCTGGAGTACCTCATCCCTGAGCCCCCGCTTATCAGTGCTATGGTTCCATTGAGCGAGGTCTGAGGTGCAGTCAGAACCATCAGGGGGTGGCCTGATTTGGTGGTTGTTGACACAGCGGCGGCAGCGCAACCTGGGGGCAGAGGACAAAGCTGTCGTCACTGTACACCCCATCTATAAGCTATAAGGAAAATTCAGATAATGGCTACAAGGGCACTCCACCCACCTATCATGTGTGTCACTGAGGCTAGCCTCATCCAGGGTAAACAGCTCCTTCAGCTCGCCCAGAGAGAAGTGTCGTTCCACATCCTGCTCTTCATCCACCACACAACTACTCAGTGCCTTCTTGTGGCTCTGACGCTGAAAGATCTTCTCCTCGATGGTTCCCGCCTGGGGGAAGATTGGGGGAGGCAGGGAAGCAGGGCTGAGTCATCTCCATACATAGGGAGAAGGAAAAAACAGGGAATGAAACTATAGCCATCCAAGAGAAAGAAAGATAAATGAAAAGTAAGAACCCTGCAGCAATACCTCCGCTTAGCTAATCCCATTGTGTAGCCCAGTGGTCAGCAAACTCATTAGTCAACAGAGGCAAATATCAACAGTACAACGATTGAAATTTCTTTTGAGAGCCAAATTTTTTAAACTTAAACTATATAGGTAGGTACACTGTTATTAACTTAATTAGGGTATTCCTAAGCTGGCCTTTGCTAAAAACGTCCTCAATCTGAGGGGTCAACCTCAGCGAACGTACCCCACTTCTTCTAACGCCACTTCTTCAAAATAGACTCGCCCAGCCCTGACCGGTTTGGCTCAGCGGACAGAGTGTTGGCCTGCGGACTCAAGGGTCCCAGGTTCGATTCCGGTCAAGGGCATGTACCTTCGTTGCGGGCACATCCCCAGTGGGGAGTGTGCAGGAGGCAGCTGATCGATGTTTCTCTCTCATCGATGTTTCTAACTCTCTATCCCTCTCCCTTCTTCTCTGTAAAAAAATCAATAAAATATTAAAAAAAAAAAATAGACTCGCCCAGGCCAAAAACCGACTTCTGCGCATGGGCCACGAAGTTTCAATCACACAGTACGTGCGCGCCCGCACGTGGTATTTTGTGGAAGAGCCACACTCAAGAGGCCAAAGAGCCGCATGTGGCTCGCGAGCCACGGTTTGCCGACCACTGGCCTAGCCTATCTCTTGGGAATATGACTTGTGCAGGTCTGCCCATCCAGGATGTTTTCTGTACCAATGGAGGGTTTCAGGGCCTGGCTAAATTCCTTTAGGGTTAGCTGAGGTTTGTCTGTAGCAGCTTCACCAGACTTCCACACCAAGCCCAAGTCTCACCCAATAACTATCATTTGGGTATTATATGCCAGACCCTGTGCTGACACTAGGATACAAAGAAGAATCAAATATCCTTATTCTTGAACTCAGACTAGTGGGATAGACATATAAGCTACTTGGTACAATAGATTTCTGTACAGAATACCTAGTAGCCCACAAGAGGGATGGGCAAAATGGAATAGTGTTGAAAAGCTTGAAAGTAAAGATGATCCTCAAGCTGAATCTTAAAAAAGAGAGAGAGAGAGAGAGACTAGATCATTTAGAAGGGCAGAGAGAAGGGAAGGCATTCCTTGCATAGGAACAAAGGAATAAGCCTGGCCTATTGGAGGACTGAGGCGTTCAGCCTATCCAGATGACAGTGGAAGTATAGTAAAAGCTGGGACTGAGAAAGTCAGCAGAGTCTGTATTGGAGAAGCTTGGATGCCAGGCTGAAGAGCTTGACCTTGTCCTGAAAAAGCAAAATCAGAATTTTTTGAAAGCTCATTCTGAAAAAAGTATGTAAAGAATGGGTTAGGATAAGACCAAAGGCAAAGAATTAGGAAGCTGCTTGCAATATCCAAGTAAGAGATTACTGTGACTTTAGCATGGGATGGAGAGGAAAGTTAAATTAAAAAAAAATTCAAGAGTTTAAAATCAATGGTAATTGGAATCTGATTGTTAGGAGACAGAATAGTCTAGTAGGATAATACCCAGATTTGGGTTGAGTGGCCAATGGAACCATTAAATGACAAAATTCAGAAGGGGAGCATGTTTCATCATAATGTATATGAAGTACTTGTAAGATATTCAGGTGGAGCCCTAGCCCATTTGGCTCAGTGGATAGAGCATGGCCTGCGGACCAAAGGGTCCCAGGTATGATTCCAGTCAAGGGCACATACCTTGGTTGCAGGCTCCTCCCCAGCCCAGGCCCTGGTCAGGGCTCATGCAGGAGGCAACCAATCGATGTGTTTCTCTCACATCAGTGTTTCTCTCTGTCTTTCCCTCTCTCTTTCACTCTCCCTAAAAAATAATGGAAAAATATTCTTAGGTGAGGATTAACAAAAACAAACAAACAAACAAAAAATATTCAGGTGGAAATATACAGTAGGTGATGGATACATGGGGCTAGAACTCAGGTAAGAGATCCGGGCTAGCCCTGGCTGGCTTGGCTCAGTGGATGGAGTGTCGGCCTGTGGACTGAAGGGTCCCAGGTTCGATTCTAGCCAAGGGCACATGCCTGGGTTTCGGGCTCGATCCCCAGTAGGGGGTGTGCAGGAGGCAGCCAATCAATAATTCTCTCTCATCATTGATGTTTCTCTCTCTCCCCTCTCCCTTCCTCTCTGAAATCAATAAAGAAATATATATATATTTTTAAAAGATTTATGGAAGAGTGCAAAAGGCAAGGGGAAGAATTCAAGCTTCATAGCCTACATTTTTTTTCTGTGAAGTAGGACAAGGTCTCTGCAGAAGAATGAGAGACAGGGTTAAGAAGGAAACTTGAGGGCAGTAGTGAAGGCTTAAAGTGGTTGTTGAAAGAAAATGAGATATGGCCCAGCCAAAATGGTGAATGTGATTAGTGGCAGTGCCCATCTGTAAGTGCAAATTTATCTGGTGTAAAAGCTGAGAACAGCTGTACCAAGTGAAGTAGGTATTAGGGAAGGAGTTCCTAAAAGGATACACAATAAGGATCAGGCCGAACAGAAAAGGAAGTAAAGCCAGATTTGAGGACTGGGGTCAGGGTACTAGGGACGTTAGGTTGAAGCAGATGTAGGAGGTATAAGAAAGCTGGAAGGACAGGAAGTGATAGCTGTTAACTAAAGTTTGGGGTACTATGTAAAGTTTCAGTATTGTTTAAGTTCCACAGTGTAGCCTTTAGAGTAATTAAAATTGGGGGAGGTCAAGGAAACATGAAGGCCAGAATGCTGGATAACTGCATGGTCCTTGAAGTCCACCAGGATGATAGCTGGATTGGGAAAGAAATAAAGATTGAGCTGGTATCTAAAAATCATTAATGAATTATGAAAATAGCAGGAGGTAGATGACTGTTGTAAGGAAAAGAGAAATCAAACTAGACAACTTGAGCTTCAAAAGAACTATAGGATGGATGGTCTGAGTGATCACTGAGAACTTGGAGAATGCCAATACCTCTTTTTAATACCATGGGACATGGAGTATAAGAAGACTACAAGGCCACATCGGAGAGTAGAAATCAGGTATGAAGGAAAGTAGGTGTCCTGTGAAAAGGATGGGGCCACAGGGGAGTTTGTTAACTACTGAACACAGGTATCCAGAGAGCATTGTAAAGAAGGGTTTGAAGGAATGGGGTGGAGAGAACAGAAGAATAAAAGGCTCCTGGCTAAGCCCATAGCTAAGGCCACTGCTAGAAGCAGAAGGCCCAAAGAGTGGCACTAAAAAATAACCCAAGATGGTCCTAAAGGTCTTATTCCATCCTTACAGACAGCAGGCGATAGATATAGCAGGTCTTCTTTTGACCATCACGCCAGACCCGAGCCATAGCTTGTTCATCATTAGCCGGGTTCCAGTCAGGGTCAAACATGACCAGACGGTTAGCCCCAATGAGATTGAGGCCACAGCCCCCCGCTTTGCTGCTCAGCATGAAGACAAAGTCAGGACTCTGGAAAGAGAGGAAGCAGAAAAGAACCTTTCGCAGCCTGAACTAGAATCCTCCTCAGCCCAGTCAACTGTTCTCTCACACATCTATATTCTTAGGCTCAGACCAATTGTGAGGATCACCAGTTTGCATACCATCCAACTTCCTAGCCCACAGAGTCAGTTCCCAGCCCAGCCATCACTAACCAGCCTAACCCTACCACACCCACCAGAAAAAAAATCCAGGAAGACACTAGAGCGCAGCCCCCTTATAGCTTCTCTATCAACCCTGATCCTGATGTTACTACATTGGTGGTGTGGGGGCAAGGGTTGTGCATTTACCGATGGACTGTTGAAGCGTTCTACAACCTTGGCTCGCTTCTTAATGGACATGGTGCCATCCAAGCGGACATACAAATACCTAAAAGGAAATCCAAAGATCAAAACCCAAGAAAGAAGCAGAGTTTCTTGGAGCCAGAATTACAAAGGGACTACACTAACCATACTTGAGGCTGTTTCATGCACAGCCTGAGGCCCCACACTCACAAAGGGAGGGGCAAGGGCTAGGAGCCAGGATTCTGTTCTGTGGGAACACCTAAAAGACCAGGGGCTATTCTGCTTGGGGAGGCACTTTGGCAGCCTAGTTAGGCTCTTCCCTACCTTCGGGCCCGGCACAGCTTCTCAAAGAGGTCCAGGGTCTGGGTGTAATTGGACACCAGCACTACTTTATCACTGCTGCGGCTTCGGGTCACTGCCAGGATGTAGTCAAGGACCAGCATTTTACCTGGGGAGATGAACTATTAGTCCCCAGTGTGTCAGCCCAATGGCCCAAAATTCTTACTCTTGATATCCTGCCTTGAGACAAGATAGGTTTAGAATATAGAGACAATCCCCCACCCTTCATCCTAGAGAAGCCAAAACAACAACAACAACAAACGGTAGGAAAGGGCTCACCTGACAGCTGGGGCTCTAGAACCTTGGAGCTATAACCAGGGGGGAATACGTCCAAGGCACCTTCAAAGCCATCCTCTTCTTCCACACACTTGTCATAGATGAGAGCTGGATCTGGTAAAAAAATAAAAATTAAAAATTAAAAAAAAGCCAGCTACATTGCTTTCAGAAATTTCCACTTCAGTTCTCATTAGAAAGAACTCCTCTAGAAAGAAGCCTATCCAAATGACCTTCAGCACCAGATTTGCTTGGTCCCAAATTCCAGTGTGTAGTCAGTGCCACCTGGGAGAATGAATGGATAACCTGGCTCACCAGTGTGCTCTCCCAACAAAAAGGAAGCTATACCAGAGACAGTACATTTGTTATTTTTATTCCTGTCTGACATTTTGTGTGCACATGTGTGCATGAACACACACACACACAGTCCTATATACCCCAAGCATCAAGCATAGGCTGGGCAGAGGATAAGCTGAAGTTTTCAAAGCAAAGGGTCTGGTTGACAAAGTAAACAATGTAGGGCTCATGCCTTGGGAATCACATATGGCCTCTATGAGGACTCTGAGGACAAGTATGAGTGAAGGTGGCTGGATCGCCTGCGGGAGCCTACCCTCCTCGCTCACTCTCACAGAAGATCTCTGAGGAGCATGGACCCAACTCACGATTACAAAGCTTCTTTAGTGAGGTGATGGAAGACAGGGAAGATACACTCATCTTGCCCTCACGCAACTCCTCTGCTGGCTTGGCCTGTCTCAGAAACCTCTGGTATAATTCAGTCTGAAGCGGTGTCAACCTGAAAAAAAGGCAGCTGGGTCAGTGAGAAAGGCTGAACCATACTTGGGCCCTCTGAGGACAACTTGAAAACTGGGCTTTTACTCTCTCCACACCCCTAAGTTGAGTTCAGTACCTACAACAAACCACCTGCTCAATCTTCACAGGCAGATACTTAGACAGGATATCAGATGTCCTCCTTATCAGGCACCTAGAGAGAACAAGATAAAAAGGTAGCTGCTGGTAAAACCACTAAAAAAACTACTGGAATAAAAATTACCACCTAAAGGACCAAAAATGACTCTCTTGTACTATTAAATGTCAGAGACCCATCAGTCCTAGGGCAAAGATATCTATACCGGGGTCGCAGTCATGGGAACGGAGACCCTTACAGTCTAGCTTTAACTGACAACTCTTTCTCTTCCCCTTCAAAAGGTTAGCTGGTCTTCAAGAAGAGGCCAAGGCCTCCCATTGTGTCTAGTGCTCTGATAGGGAAAGCAAGCTGCAAACCACTAAGTCCTTAGGGAAGTTTCTGCATTTGCCCAATTGCTCTTGTCAAATGACCCAAGGCTCGATGAAATTAAGCCCACACCTCCTAGCAGACCAGGAAGAACAGGGATCAGGCACCTAAGCAGCAGGTCCCGACATACTGTCTCCTTCCTGCCATCTAAAATTGGGAGGGAGAGGTGGCAATTGGGAAGAACAGGACTCTTCAGGATGTAAATCATCAAGTGTATGTATCTATAACAGGAGTCCAGAATGTACCTGCCCTCCTGTGCTATGTGGGCCCCATAGAAAAAGCCATCTCAGTCTGGAAGCCACACCCATTCATCAGATCTACCCCTACCTATGAGGCCTGGGAAGGTAAGCGTGGTTCTTTAGGTTTGAGATCAAATGGTAAGAAGCTTCTGAAATACTAACAGTGTTCTGAGGGATATTTTGCTCAGGAAATCCAACAGCATCAGAAAAGAGCTTCCTCAGCAGGTTGCTAAGCAGACCAAAACCAGACCACAGGACTGAGGCCAGGAAGAAAGCAGGGACTTGGCCTGCAAGACCCTCTATTTTATTCAGTAGTTATAGTGAGAACACAGATCCCACTCCCTTCCTAGAATCCCAGCCTTCATAGGTCAAGGTCCCAAAAGATAGGCCTTGGATGGCTTAGGGGGCAACTCTGATGACCTCAGTTGGGGGAACCCAAATGAAGTGCTGCCTTCTAGTCCCACCCTGCCATTACCTATTCACAATGCTGGTGAGCTCCCGCAGTCGCTCCTCTCCTAGCTGCCTATCTGCCTCACTGGCAGCTGCATCTCTACCTTTCAAAATTGGCAACTCAAAATGCTTCTTGAACTCATGGGCAGTTCCTAGACGCAGAAGAGAAGGGGAAATTAAAGAATGTAGAAAAAGAATTATTTCCCACTGCTAGTAATGGCAGACTTCTTTGTTACAGACCAACCTTCCTGCCAAGACCAACAAAGCTAAACAAATTACAGGCAATTTGTTTGAATGAACCGGAGAGCTACCAAAACATAGAAGACTTAAAAGGCCAAATAGTGAGATAGTAGATTAAAATACAAACATGTAACTAATCACATTAACTATAAATGGACAAAATAATCCAATAAAAAGACATTCCAGCCTGGCCAGTGTGGCTCAGTGGTTGATGTTGACCCATGCACCCAGAGGTAACTGGTTAGATTCTGGGTCAGGGCACATGCCTGGGTTGCAGGCTCCATCCCCAGTATGGAGTGTGCAAGAGGCAGCCCATTGATGTCTCTCTCTCATCGATATTTCTATTTCTTCCTTCCTCTCTCTAAAAAATCAATAAAAACACACATATTTTTAAAAAAGAAAATCCAATTATCAGATTGGATTTTTTTTTAGAGCACCCACCTATATACTGTTTGTAAGAGATAAAGGTGCATGTATTAGTACAATGAAGTTCATGCCACAGTGTGGACAAACCTTGAAAACATTACATTAAGTAAAATAAGCCAAAGACAAAAGTTCAGATATTATAGGATTCCACTGATATGAAATATCCAGAATAGGTAAATCCTTACAGACAGAAAGCAGATTGGTGGCTGTCGGGGTCAGGGGTAAAGGGGAAACAGAAAGTAACTGCTTAATGGGTATATGATTTTCTTTTGGCCAGAAATTAAAAAAACAAAACAAAAAACCAACATCTCCAAATAGCCAATGACTATATTAAAAGATATCTAACTTTATTCAACATTAGGCAGATGGAATGAGATATTACTAAACACCAACAAAATGACTAAAATTATTTATTTATTTAATTTGTTAATCCTCACTTGAGGATATTTTTCAATGGCTCTTCAGGAAGGGAGAGGGGAGGAAGGAGGGAGAGAGAGAGAAACAGAGACAGAAAAACATCAATGTGAGAGAGACACATCGACTGGTCGCATCCCGCATGCACCCAACTGGGGGTGGGGATGGAACCCACAACCCAGGTATGTGCCCTTGACTGGAAATTGAACCCTCGACCCTTCAGTGCACAGGCCAAAGCTCTAACCACTGATAAACACCTGCCAGGGCGACTAACATTTTTGAAAATTTTAAAGATAAATATTGGTGATACAGAGCCATGGTTAACAAACTACAGCCATGGGCCAGCCACCTGTTTCTGTAAATGAAGTTTTATTAGACTACAGCCATGCCCATTATGGCTGCTTTCACTCTACAATGGCAGAACTGAGTAACTGTGACAGAGTTTGCTTGTGAGCCTAAAACACTATCTAGCCCTTTAAGAAAAAAAATTGCTGACCCATGATATAGAGTAGACACTGGAATTCTCATACTCTGCTGGTACAATCACTTAAAGTGATTATAGAGCTGAACACATGCATAACATATGACCCAGCAATTCCACACTTAGGACAGAGAAATGCATATTATGCTGAGGTAAAAACATGTGCAAGAATGTCCATAGCATCATTATTAAAAGAATAAAAAAACTGGAAATAAAAATTGTCTATCAATAGTAAAAGAAATAAATCATGGTATATTCACTAAAGGGAATAGTATACAAAAATGAAAAACTACAACTACAGGCAACAACATGGATGATTTCTCATAAATATAATGAACAGAAGAAACCAGATGCAAAGGAATATATACTGTATGACTCCATTTATATATATAAAGTTTAAGAATATTTCTGGGGAGAAAAAAGTAGTGATTAGAAGGGGGTGGGAGAGTGCCTCTGAGATGGGAGGGCTGCTGAGATAGTGATAGTAGCTGATCTGGTGGTGGTCACTCCAATATGTTCTTTGTGAAAATCTTGCTGCTCAGCTGGTTCTCACCTTAAGTGATTTTCCTAAGCACTGTCAAGTTGGGGTGACACTAAAAAACCGTTCCACAGATATCTAAGTGCAGGAACTTCCCAAATGGTGGTTACTGGGGCAGGGGAGAGTGAAAAATAGGGAGCTATTGTTTAATGGGTAGAGTTTCAGCTTTGCAAGATAAAAAAAGTTCTGGAGATAGATGGTAGTGATGGTTGCACAACAATGTGAATATACTTAATGACACTTAATTGTACACTAAAAAATGGTTTTTAAAAAAAGAAAGAAGCTGCCCAAGACTGTCTGCTCTGAGGTCAAAGCTCTCGTGAGGTAACAAAAATATCTGGAGATATTATTTCCATCCACAGTTCATAGTGACCCCATGCTCTGCAAAGAGCCTGCCACCTCTGCCAGAGGAAAATAGCCAGAGTGGGGAAATCCCAGCCACAGCAACCAGACAAAAAGAAATAAAAGGCATCCAAATTGGAAAAGAAGAAGTAAAACTGTCATTATTTGCAGATAACATGATACCATAGAGAGAACCCTAAAGATCCCACCAAAAAAACTACTAGAACTGATAAATGCATTCAGTAAAATAGCAGGATACAAAATATTCAGAAATTGGTTGCATTTTCATACATCAATAATGAACTAACAGAAAGAAAAACTAAAAAAAAAATCCCATTTACAATTGCACCAAAAACATAAAATACCTAGGAATAAATTTAATGGAAGCATATACCATACACATGGATACCCAAAGCAATCTATAGTTTCAACAAAATCCCTATCAAAATTCCAATGGTGTTTTTATAGAACTAGAACAAGTAATCCAAAAATTTATATGGAACCACAAAAGACCCTAAATAGCCACAGCAATAAAAAAAAAACAAAGTTGGAGGGATCACAAGATTATAATAATCAAAACAGCATGGTACTAGAATAAAAAACAGACACAGATCAATGGAAAAGAACAAAGTGCCCAGAAATAAACCCACACCTGTACAGTTAACTAATACATGACAAAGGAGGCAAGACTATACAATGGGATAAAAATAGTATATTCAATAAATGGTTTTGGGAAAATTGGACAGATACATGAAAAAAAATGAAACTAGACCATCTTTTTACACCATATACAAGAATAAACTAAAAATGGATTAAAGACTTAAATGTCAGACTCAACACCATAGAACTCCTAGAAGAAAACATAGGCAGTAAAGTCTGACATTTCTCTTAGCAATATTTTTCTGATATATCTCCTCAGGCAAGGAAAACTGAAGAAATAATAAATAGGACTATATCAAATTAAAAAGTTCTTCTGCACAGCAAAGGAAACTATCAACAAAACAAAAAGATGACCTACTGAATGGGAGAAGATATTTGCCAATGATATATCAGATAAGGGGTTAATATCCAAAATTTATAAAGAACAAACCAATAAAACAATCCAACTAAAAATGGGTAAAGGACCTGAATGGATACTTCTCCAAAGAGGACATACATGGCCAATAGACATATGAAAAGATGCTCAATGTCACTAAGTATTCAAAGAAATGCAAATTAAAACCACAGTGAGAGACCTGGCCAGGTGGCTAAGCTGGTTGAAGCATAGTTCCATACACCAAAAGGTTGTGGGTTCAATCCCCTGTTGGGGCACATACAGGAGGGAACCAATCGATGTTTCTCTCTCCATCAATGTTTCTCTCTCTCCCTTCCTCTCTCTAAAATCAATTTTTAAAAAGATCCTGGCCTGCCCTGACCGGTTTGGCTCAGTGGATAGAGTGTCGGCCTACGGACTGAAGGGTCCCAGGTTCGATTCCGGTCAAGGGCATGTGCCTTGGTTGCGGGCACATCCCCACTGGGGGGTGTGCAGGAGGCAGCTGATCGATGTTACTCTCTCATCGATGTTTCTAACTCTCTATCCCTCTCCCTTCCTCTCTGTAAAAAATCAATAAAATATATTTCTAAAAAAGATCCTCCAGTGAGGATTAAAAATAAAAACAAAACAAAACCACGATGAGCTATCACCTCAAACCTGTCACAATAGCTATCATAAAAAAATCAGCAAGTGTTGGCAAGGATGTGAAGAAAAAGGAACCCTTATGCAACATTTTTGGGAATGCATATGTTGCAGCTACTACGAGTAGTATGGTTGGAGGTTCCTCAAAATATTAAAAACAAGATTGCCTTTTGATCCAGCAATTCCATTTCTGGGTATATATCCAAAGAAACCCAAATCTAATTTGAAAAGATATATGCACCCCTATGTTCACTGAAGCATTATTTACAATAGATAAGATATGGAAATGCCCTAAGTGCCCATCAGCAGAGGAGTAGATAAAAAAGTGTTGATAACAGCCCTAACCAGTTTGGCTCAGTGGATAGAACGTCAGCCTGCAGACTGAAGGGTCCCAGGTTCGATTCTGGTCAAGGGCATGTACCTTAGTTGCAGGCACATACCCAGTAGGGGGTGTGCAGGAGGCAGCTGATTGATGTTTCTAACTCTCTATCCCTCTCCCTTCCTCTCTGTAAAAAATCAATAAAAATATATATATTTTTAAAAGTGTTGATACATATATACTATGGACTATTACTCAGCCATAAAAAAAGAATGAAATCTTGCCCTGGCTGGTGGCTCAGTTGGTTGGAGCATCATCTTGGACACCAAAAGGTCACAGGTTTGATTCCCAGTCAAGGCATATACCTAGATTGCAAGTTTGATCTCTGGTCAAGGTGCACATGGGGGGCAGCCGATCCACGTTTCTCTCAAACAAAAAATAAACAAAAACAATGAAATCTGCCTTGGCTGGTTTGGCTCAGTGGATAGAGCGTCGGTCTGCGGACTGAAGGGTCCCGGGTTCGATTCCGGTCAAGGGCACATGCCTGAGTTGTGGGCTCGATCCCCAGTAAGGGGCATGCGGGAGGCAGCCAATCAATGATTCTCTCATCATTGATGTTTCTATCCCTCTGTCCCCTCTCTCCCTTCCTCTCTGAAATCAATAAAAATATATTTAAAAAAAAACAAAAAACAATGAAATCTTGCCCTAGCCAGTTTGGGTCAGTGAATAGAGCATCGGCCTGCGGATTAAAGGGTCCTGAGTTCGATACCCAGTCAAGGGCACGTACCTTAGTTGCAGCCTCATTCCCCGACCCGGTCTGAGCATGCAGGAAGCAACCAATGGATGTGTCTTTCTCACATCCATGTTTCTCTCTCCTCCCTACCCTCCACTCCTTCTAAAAAATAAAAAATAAAATAATAATAATTATTATTATTATTATTATGGCCAGAATGGACCTTGCTGAGTTGCTTGGCAGAGCCAAGGTCTCCCTGACAAGAGAAGTCCTCCTACAAGTACTAGCATTCTCTTTTCTCTCCTCAGCTAGAGTTACAGGTAAGACTCCTCTCCAGTGTAGCAAACAAGGCTGGATTCTTACCCAGTATGCCTGAATTAACAAAATGTACCAAGCTGAAATACTCAAGGAGATCATTCTGGATGGGAGTCCCGGAGATGAGCACCCGCCGGCTGGTGTTCAAGCTGTCCAGGGCCTGGTAAGTCTGATTCTCAGAGTTCTTGAGTCTGTGTCCCTACAAGGAAATTCTCACTTAGGCCTGGGCACAATATGGCATCCCTAATAGGAGCAAAGTCTTGTGTAGAGAATCCAATCTCTGGCCATCAGTCCACAGCACCTCACCCTCCTCGGAGTTCCAAAAAGTGCTTACTCCCTCTTTTGACAGATTGATATCATGGGCTCTCCTCTCATTTGCCTCCTCCAAAGCAGCATGCTCTATACTCAGCATTCCCCAGGGACTGACACAGACCTTGGAGGGAGTTCTCAGTGAGGAGACTCTGACAGACTTTCTCCTACCACCCAGACCGCTGAGAGTCAAGTACCTCATCACATATGACCAGACCAACACTCCCTTTCTGGAGGACTCCAACATGAAGGCGGAATGTCTCGTAGGAAATGATGAGGATGGGAGAAGGCACTCTGGCTCCACGCTGGTTCATGAATCCTTCTACAACAGAAAAGGTGTCAAGGAACAAATCTTAAAATATCTTTTAAAAAAAAAAGTTTGATAGCTGTTAAATTCAGCCTGGAAATAACTATTTCAACTATTTTCCATAGAATTCTCTTCTCTGCCACCCCTCATTGCCCTCAACCCTGGCCATCAGTAAGCATTCACATAAGAAAGGAATACAATGCCCAGCTGGTGTGGCTCAGTGGTTGAGGGTCGACCCAGGAACCAAGAGGTCACTGGTTCAAGTCCTGGACAGGGCACATACACGGGTTGCAGGCTTGATCCCCAGTAGGGGACATGCAGGAAGCAACCGATCAATGAGGTTTCTCTCATCAGTGTTTCTATATCTCTATCCCTCTCCCTTCCTCTCTCTCTAAATATCAAGAAAAACATATAAAAAAGAAAAGAGTAGTTTGTGTAGAAGAGTAGTTTGTGTAAAGACTCCATACCTAGCTTTTTATCTATCTCGTCCTTAGAGCCTCCATCGATGGCCAGAGGTTGAATCCTCCCTCCAAGCCATTTCCCAACTTCATTGTACCAGTTCTTCACCAGGCTGGAGGGCGACACCACCACTGCCTTGTCAATTTCTGGCTTGCACTCTGGACTCTGGCGCAAAAGCGTCCACATCAACGTGATACACTGCAGTGTCTTGCCCAGGCCCATCTCATCAGCCATAATGCAGCCATGGCTGCCGGGGATGCGCCGACTGGTGACACAATCCCACAGGAACTTCACTCCCTGGGGAAGAACAGCACTCAGCCCACTTTGGCATCCACACTGCTGCTGTCCTAAAGATGGCAGCCTCAAGCTCAGACCCTAGCCCATAACTCATTTCCCCACTTACCGCCCCCCACCCCACCCCACTTACCTCTCTCTGATGAGGCCGCAAGACCTTACTGAGAATAGGATCAACAACCACATGGACAGGGAGTTTTTCCCTGAGAAAATACAGCAAAAAAAACATGGAGCTCAGACATAGGAAAGGGCATGCCCTAAGGAAGCTGTGTCCTGCTGATCCAGAAGCCACAGAGGCAGCTGCCTAAAAAAGGACCTTCTTGGCCTAGTAATCAAACCATAGTAAATTCCTGCCCCGGGGAAATTTAGGTAAGAGGGATGGGCTCTCTATGTTATCACCTCAACCCCGCCTGCTCCTGCGTGAGGAATCCCCACCTTGGTCATGTCCTCATGCTCTCGCCTAGGCACTCTCCTTCCCCACCACTCTCCGGATGGCACAGCAGTCATGACAGCACTCTGAACACATATGCCCGTCCCCAGGGATCAGAACTGCTCAAGAAATACCAACACACATACTTGTCAAGCTTCAGCTGGTCATGGGCGCTCAGCGGGGGAGGTTCATACAGAACCAAGGCACCTTCTTCCAGGGGGTCATGGAGGGCCCGGCGGACCCCAGCCCGTTTGAGGCCCAATGCCCGAGAGCCCAGCGGACCTAGAAACCAACAATCTGTTAACTAAGCCTCTATGTTGAGGAGCTCCAGCAGGCCCAGCTCAAATTCCTATCCTTCACCAACCTTTCCTAAGCCTCCATATGACCCTCTCTCCCAGAACCTCTCCAAATAGAGTTTTGGCACTGCTACCTGACCGTATCCCAGTCTGCCTCAGATCAGAGTCTCTATTATTTTAGTTTGCCATTCAACTACAAACCTCAGAAGGGCCAGGTCTTGTTCATCTCAACTCAAGTCAATCCTGGAAAGGTCTAAAACCCTGAAAGGGCCTTTCAAGACTTAGAGCTCTTGAGAGTTGGCCTCCTCTCTCCCAGCCCCAGTGCACAATGCTATGCTCTATATAGGACAAGGAAAACTTTGTAGAACCTAAGCCTCCAACAGAGTCAACCTCATAAAGATGCCATTGAACTCACTTGGACTAAATGAAACCTGGACCCATCAGTCACCCTGGCCCACCAGGAGCTTCCTGAGCACTGCACATCCCCACCAAGAAGATGAAGGGCGGCCTTGCTGACGCTATCAAACAGCTTTCTTTCATGCAGACCTCAGTGGAGCCACCCCATACACAGTCACCACTGGGCTGGCATCTTCAATTCCAAGGTAAGCTTATATGTTCAAAAGCTGAGGTTTTAATCTATCCAGGCACATTGACGCATGACAGAGTTAAAAATAGAAAAGTCTCCATTTTTACCTTGATAATTTGGAATGGGGATTTTGAAAGGCTTTGACAAAATGCTTCGAATAAATGCTTCCTAAAAAGAAACAGAGAGAGAAAAACAGGGATTCAGGACTCTTCAGAGATGTTATGGAATACTATTTCTACAAATGCAGCCTAAAATGCCTATGTAAGCACCGTAATACAGTAAGAGCATTGTATTTTTATTACGGCTCATTAAGAATCACCTAGAACACTGTGCTCCATATTAGATTTGTACAACAGCTTCTTTTCTTGCTTTCTTTGTCTCTTGATTAAAATCTTCCCCTCAAGAAAACAAGAACCGAGGTCTCCTTCCTCTCACTGGTAACTAATGTGTTACTATCCTTATCTTACTAGACAAAGCTGGCCACTACTCCTCAAATATTCTGTCTTTGACTTCCATGCCACCACTCTCCTACTATTCCCTTCTCTGGGACCTCATGCTCACTCCCCTAATGGGTTTTCTTTTTCCTCAGCCTAATCCCCCTTAAAAGTAAGTGTTCCTCGGGGCTCGGATCTAGGCTCTTCTTTTTCTTTTTAAATTCTCACCCGGGGATATTTTTCCATTGATTTTTAGAGTGGAAGAGAGAGGGAAAGACGGGGAGGAGACTGCAACAGAGGTACGTAACCTTGACTAGAATTGAACCCGGGACCTGTAGGTCTGCAGGCTAACGCTCTCTATCCACTGAGCCAAACCAGATAGGGCTCTAGGCTCTTCTGACTGCACACTCACCCTGACACTTCAATACACGTTGGAGGTATGGTACTAAATATCATCAATATGCTAATGACCCCAAGTCTATTTCCAATCAGTACCTCTCTCCTAGGCTCCACACCCACATTTGCAACCACCCCCAAACCTAGACATTCTGGTGTCTAAGGCTAAAGTCCTCATCTCCAGGGTTGCACTATGACTTTTGTGGGTCTGAGGCACTTTTGCCTTTGGGGCCAGAAGGTAAGTAGTTTTTGCCACTCCAAAACGTGCCTTTTGGGATATGAATTATTTTTTTAGGCTGGTTATTTTTTAACAAACAGCATTCTTGGAAGAAGCTTTGAAAACCAAGTAGCAGTTATCCTGGGTAAAAGGACATCTACATTTGTAAGGGAAATCTTTATTTGTAAGAGTGTCTCCCTCACTGAACCCGGCCTGCCTCTACTATCAATGGAAAAGGCTTGGACTTAATCTGCATACCCTTGTTTATTGCACTTTTCCTGGTCACCTCCCCTGACTGACTCCACCACCATTTTTTGTTTTTTGGTTAAGGTATTTAAGGTGATGGCTTCTGCCATTTTGGCGAGTTACAGTTTTCCTGGGTCTCAGGAGGTATTCATATGATTATATGTTATGAAGCTTTAATTTTTCTCCTGCTAATCTGTCAATGACAATTTGATTATTAGTCCAGCCAGAAGGACCTAGGGTAGAGAATTTTTCCTCCCCCAGAGGCTCCTCCTCCACTGCTTCCACACAGGCTGTTCCCTCCATCTAGATCACGTCCACTCTCCTCACCTGGCTGACTTCCATGCCACCACAGTATGTCCCTCAGATTCAGGTCTTCACCAACCTCGACTGTTAGGACCCTATTGCATACTCCCACCACACCTGCACTTACTGTCATATAGTTACTTGAATGAATCCTGAATGAGAAGTTCCAGAGTACTACATGTAATCATGTAGAAACTTCATTTCTTTAGTATAACTTTTCTCCTTTCTTTTCTTCTGATTCAAACTGGTTTCATCCAGTATCCTTCTTCCTTGCATGTCCACTCCCTTAATCATTAAGCCCGCAGGACAAAGAGATTCTGATCAGAAGCAAATAATCTTAGGAACAAAGCCTCAGGTCTGTTGACCAGCAAAGACAGTTTCAGTCAAACTAGAGACAACATCTAAGCCTCAGTTGTTTCAGCTCCAGGCCCCAAAATGCAGGGAAACCAGACGAGCTGGTGCCATGGCTGACAACCACCCTCTACCCTAGCACTGACCAATCAGCAGAACCACAACCCTAACTCCATTAGTCACCATGATTAATGATGTTTCTCCAACGTAGCCCATCCATGGAAGCCATCCGGGAGCCAGGCTTATGAGCATTAATTCATTTGTGACTCCGGGTGTGGGTCATTTCCTGAACTAATAAATCCTTATTTTCTTTGCTGCAAGCTCCTGTTCGAGTTTTATTGAGCTTTGATGCACACAGGGAAGCAGACTCCTTTAGACCAGTAACATACATATCATTTGTTTATAACTCAATAAATAAACTTAGTGAATTACATACATACGGTAAAACTATTACAAAAAGCAATAGATGATGAACATAATTCAAGATAGTGATTTACCTCTGGGGATGGGAAAAGGGGGGAGCGGTCCTAAGCCAGGAGTCAGATATCCTTAACATTGCCATGGAGGCGGGAGAGGCTCCTGCCCCCGCCACTGCGCTCACCAGCCATTAGCCAGGCTTCTGGGTGAGCAGCGCTCCCGCTGTGAGATTGGGTCTAAACTAGCTCTCCAATATCCCCCAGAGGGGTCCCGGATTAAGAGAGGGAGCAGGCCAGGCCAAGGGACCCCACCGGTGCACAATCAGAGCCGGGGAGAGACACAGGAGGTTGGCCAGCTGGGGAGGGACCGTGGGAGGTCTCCAGGGCGTGTCCAGCCCTCCTCTCTCAGTCCTGATCAGCCGGATCCCAGCAGCAAGCTAACCTACCAGTCGGAGCATCTGCCCCCTGGTGGTCACTGCCCATCATAGTGACTGGTCAACCGGTCGACTGTCTGTCCCCTGGTGGTCAGTGCATGTCATAACGAGCAAATGAGCGGCCTTAGCATATCATTAGCATGTTACGCTTTGATTGGTTGAACAGCGGACCAGTCGACCAGACACTTAGCACATTAGGCTTTTATTATATAGGATGTCACATATGTATTCTTTCACATTTATCACATAAAAATGTTTCTAAATGTTTGCTGCGTGCACAAATAACCTCCATTACATATTCCCATAAACAGATTCCCATTTTTTTTCCTTCAAAACCTCCCTGTAAAGGAAAAGCACACTCCTGTACGTGTCCTCTACTCTCAATACTACACTGCTTCGCTTCTGACTCCACATGTGTGTTTTCCACACATCAAGCAATTCTTTGGCACCACCTGGGTGTCCTACAATTTTTAAAAAATACATATTTTTATTGATTTCAGAGAGGAAGGGAGAGGGAGAGAGAGACAGAAACATCAATGATGAGAATCATTGATGGGCTGCCTCCTGCATGCCTCTTCCTGGGGATCAAGCCCTTAACCCAGGTATAAGCCTTGGCAGGAAATCGAACCGTGACCTCCTGGTTCATAGGTCGATGCTCAACCACTGAGACACTCTGGCTGGGCTACAATTTATCTTAAATCCTCACCTGAGGACACATTTTTATTGACTTTTAGAGGAGGAGAGAGAAACATCGACTGGTTCTTCACATACACACCCCAACAGACCAAGTAGCAAACCCACAACTTAAGTGCCCAGACTAGGATCAAAACTGCAACATTTTGGTGTACCGGATGACACTACAACCAAATGAGTCACTCCTGCCAGGGCTGGGAGTCCTACAATATAACTCAATTCTGATATTATCTACACACAGAAAGCATCAGATTAAGACTTCATAAGACTGCTTCCCCACCACCACAGGTGGTTCTGTCTGACAGGCTATACGTTAGAGGTTCCCACAACCCCTCCTTGGGTTTGATTAATTTACTAGGGCAGCTCAAAGAACACAGAAAAAGTTTACTTACTAGATTACCAGTTTATCTCGAGGATATTAAAGAATATGAATAAACACGGCAAGGTCTGGAAGATTCCCAAGCACAGGAGCTTCTGTACCTATGGGGTTTGGGGTGCTCCACTTCCCAGCTCATGGATGCAGTGCTGTTTACCAACCCAGTTGCTCTGGGACCAGGAAGCTCTCCAAACCCTGACCTTTTGGGGTTTTATGGAGGTTTCTTTACATAGGCATGATTAAGCATTGGCCATTCATTGGTGGGTTGGTTCTCCTAGCAACCAGCCCCAAAATCAGGTGCTTTACAAAAGTTATCGCATTAACACAAACGCAGGTGTGGTTGAAGGGGCTATAAATAACATTACTGAAATTCCAGAGCTCAACATCACAGTCCCTCAGAACACTTGGTGGAAAAAGCTTTGGGTGGAGCCAGGCAGATTTGACTAGGTTACACTGTAACTTTGGACAAGTAAACCCCTCCAAGACTCAGCTTCCTCATCTTAAAAAAAATGAGGGTTACACAAGATAATGCACAGAACCTGCCATAGTGATGATTACGTTTGATTTTATTAGATGAAACACATGAAAGCTGTAGGACTCTAAGTACTTCTTAAAACCATATGCAGAGTCAGAGACTGAACCAATACCCTGCCATGGCCTTCTTTCTCCTATACCCTCATGTCCTCAGGAATCTGAGCCACCTGAGATCTGGTGAAGAGGACTCCACGATGTTTCTCTCCTCCCCTCTCCCTTCCTCTCTCTCTAAAATTAATTAAAATATATATATATATTTTTTTTAAAGAAGGGGACTCCAAATCAGCACACATCTCTCAGGAGAAGAGGCCAGGCCTCTTCCAGTCCCCTGGACTGTGAGCAGGCCCATAGTCCCCACCGAAGTCTGTCTGCTGGCTACTCTAGTGTCTTCAGGGGTAGGAGCCTCCCTAGGCAAAACGACAGGAAGCATATACATTGGCAGGCTGTGGTTCTGACTTACATGCTGACTGCTGTCCAGACAGGGTGGTCGATTCGTTAGTTGGGTCAAAGCTTTCCGAAAAGGAGACAGGAAACACTCCTGGCTCTGGGTCTCACTGCTGGATTTCCGTTTCTTAGGAGTCTAGGAGAGAGTAGCGGGAAAGGTGAAGTCTAGAATACCACAATGGCAACTAACATTTAAAATGCTTTGTAATTTTAAACCCTGGCCGGATAGTTCAGGTGGTTAGAGCATGGTCCCAATACACCAAGGTTCTGGGTTGGATCCCTGGTTAGAGCATCAACCAACAAATGTACAAATAAGTGAAACAACAAATCAACATTTCTCTCTCTCCCTCTCTCTTTCTCTAAAAATCAGCAAATAAAATTATTTTTAAACTTGATTAAGACACTTATTAAGTGCCAGACCCTGTTAAAAACTAATCACACTTATTACCATATATCATTTACACAGTGATCCTATGTTAAATATTTATTGTTCTTATTTAACAGGTGAAAATTGGAGCTTAATGAGTTTAAAGAACTTGCCTAATCTGAGATGGGGCACTGGAAGAGGTGAATGAAGTGGGCCTGTGAAGGGCAAGTCCACCAGTAGCATGGAGTCATGTAACCCCAAATCTTCACTCTAAAAAGCCCAAAGAATAATTGAGCAACTGTTTGCTTCCGTTCCTGAGTTTTCTCAAAGGAGAGACAAGAGTACAGCTGTCCCCAACTCTCGGGTCACTAAAACCACTCTCCAGTCAGTTCACACCATGGCAGCGAGGACCCCAACACCAAAAACATTTTCAGGAGCAACCAGAGCAGACAGCACCATGTATGACCCAGCTGCACCAAGGGCTGCCCAACTTCAAGTCTGAGACCCACGGAAGTGGCAAGGGGCAGCCAATGTGCCGCCATCATAGGTAGAGGAGCCCCACGGTAAACCAGGGGTGCAACTACAGAGCAAGCCCCACTGAGCCATCAGGCAAGAACCCACTTGTACCAGCTTGCCAAGGTACTTGAAGCTTCAGTGATCACAGAAAGGCACACCAGGAACAAACACCAGGCCCCTTCCCTCTCTCCGCATCAAGTTTGACATGCTTGCTCTCCATGCTTTTACTCACAAACTTCCCCTGCCCAAAATCGCCTTCTAGACCTTCTTTAGCTCATCTTTTCCTCCAAAGTTCCAGTGGTCAAGCCCTTGAACTGCTCTCTCTGAAGTAAATGCTGCACTGTCCTATTGATTTTGGTTTACACAGATCCTGCCTACAGCCAGCCCCCGAAAGCCTGGGAAGAGGGAGAGAGCACAGGACCCAGCTCACAGCTGAACATACTATACTCGAGTATTAGCAGAGACCGGCGGGGAACCACCCCTCCAATCTAGGCCCACGTGAGCTCAGGATGCTAAAGCGGACCCAGTACATCCCACTATTTTGTGACATTGGGTAAAGGGACAAAAAGCAAAAGAACAGGCTGCTAGTTGCTGTTGGGGAGCATTTTTTTTTTTTCAAGGCAGCCAAAGGGCCCAACCCAAGGTGCTCTTTTGCTTTGGAATACTCCTTCCTACCAGGAAAATTGAGTCTACATTAGCTTCTGGTGAGCACTTGAGAACAAATATTTTATTTATCTATGTTCAGTGCCTGACACATAGTAAGCACTCATTAAAAGGCTACTGAGAGCGGCCTCTGGAGGTCATCAGGCTCATTCCATGTAACCCCAGAAACTAAGTCCAGGATTCCTTTCTGCCCAAACACTCCTGCATCCCCACCTTTTCTATCCACTTGAGGGCAGAGTACTCACCACTACCTCAGGCTGCCAATCTTCATCATCAGAAGGTCTGCCCTCCGGTTTCCTCTTGGCCAGCTGGCTGGGAGCTAAGCTCCTCCTCTGAAAGAGAATGGAAACTGAGCCCCCGCAGGGATCCTGCAGCCTGAGCCCACCGGCCCCAGTCTCCCCGAGGCCTCACTTACCATCCTAGAGCCAGGAGCATAAATATCAAGTACCCATCAGCCAAAAGACCAAGGCACCCAGAAGCTGAAAATGCAGAACCAGGGCCAGTAGAGAGCGGCCTGCTATATTGGCGAGAACGTGTCTAACTAAAGAGGAGGATGGATGGAGGGAATTCAGCCAGTGCCTGGGGTTTGGGCCCAAACCTGAGCGGCCAGTTAGCTGAGGCCGGAGAGCAGGCCCACCAAGCAGAGATCTGGGACGGCTGGGCAAAGTGGAGTCGGCACAATGGCCTCAGGTGGGCATGAAGGAAGGAAGTAGTTAGGGGGAAAGGCGGGGGAAGGGTAGTTACAGGCCAGGAGAGGGTGGGGTGGAAATCCCAGGCCAGGAGAGAGAAGCTGGGGTGGAAATCGGGGACCTGGGGAGGCGAGGCGCCCGAGCCCAGAGAAGGGGGTTTCCGCAGATGCGAGGTCCGGACGGAGGGAGGCCGAGCAGGGATCCAGGCAGGACAAGTAACAGACCCAGGCTTGGGAGGGGAACCCCAGACGGAGCTAAGAAAACGGCTGAGACGAAGGTGCTCCCGGCACGCCGGCTTAATCTGGTTCTTCCCAAAGCGCGCGTTAACAGCCGCCAGGGCTCTCCGGTCCCGCCAGGCCGGGGCAATCGAACCTCCCGCGGTGCGGCTGCCGCGCCACCCATTGGCTGCGTTCGATGCGTTCGGCGCTCGCGACCCAAGGAAGGGGCGGGCCTAGTGATGCGAACTCGTAGGTGCTCTGCGCTCCGCAGCAGAAAAGGCGAAAGGGACCGGCTTGTGGGTGGGGTTTAGGCGGAAGGGCGGGGCCAACGGCGGCGGGAGCGTGGAGCGAGGTGGGCGGGGCGAGCAGACGGGGCGGGATTTCTGAGTCGGTGGGCGGGTCTCCGGCTCTAGTGCTGCGACGTTTCTGTCGTAGGCGGGTGAGCTGGCCTGGCAGCAGCCCAGTGAAAGCTGAGGGTTATAAAAGGCAGTGCAGGTCTCCTTCTCCCGAAGGGCCTGGAGCGGAGGTCGGGGTTTGGGGTCGGACATGGCCTCCCCAAGGGTGGAGGTTGGCATTCCGTCTGCTCCGGCAGTGAGAGCCCCCAGGGAATGTGATCTTTTTAGTTGGGGATGTTTTGGAGAAAACTGCCTTCGTTTGCTAGGCAAAACCGGATTTGGAGTTTTTTGGAAACTTACTCTGTCAAGGTAAGAAATGACCAAACCCATTTTGTTTTTTTGTTTTTTACTAACATTTTTATTGATTGATTGATTTTTTTTGTGTGTGTGAAAGAAACAAAACATCGATGTTGTTCCACTTCATTCATTCATTCATTCGTTGATTCTTGTATATGCCCTAACCAGGGACGCTGGCAAATTGGGAAAGAAGCACTAATCAACTGAGCTACCCAGCCAGGGCTCAAACCTGTAAGAATTGTAAAGAGCACGGGTCGGAAGAGATCAACCAAGAAACTTGTATTCATATATGCACTACCCATGGACACAGACAATGGAGTGGTGAAGGCCTGGGGCGGAGGCTGGGAGAGATCAATGGGGAAAAGAGGAGACATATGTAATACTTTCAACAATAAAGATTTTTTAAAAAATAATAAATGAGCTGAAAGGAAAAAAAAGAGAATTGTCATGAGTTTATTTGAACCAAACTGAAGACAATGGCCAGGAAGCAAAACCTCAATGGATTGAGAAAATGCTCTGGAAAAGGGCAGTTTTGCCCAGCCAGTGTGTCTCAGTGGTTGAGTGTGGACCCATGAACAAGGAGGTCATGGTTTGATTTCTGGTAAGGGCACGTGCCAGGTTTGTGGGCTGGATCCCAGTAGGGTGTATGCAGGAGGCAGTCAATGATTCTCTCTCATCTTTGATGTTTCTATCTCTCCCTCTCCCTTCCTCTCTGAAATCAATTATATATATACTAGGGGCCCGGTGCACAAAAA